GGGGGGAGGGAGAGAGAGGGAGGGAGAGAGAGAGAGAAGCTCACATACGCTCTGCACCCAGCACGGAGCCCGGCGCAGGGCTCGATGCCGCCACCGTGAGATCACAACCTGAGCCAAAAGTCAAGATTTGGACCTTACCCAACTGAGCCACCCAGGTGCCCCCAGAATTTTGTATTTTTGAAAGTGAAAAATTTTGTTCGTAAACGAAATACATTTCACCTGTGTATTTTCAGGAAGAAAGGTTCCAGAGTGCTTTTCCGTCACCGTCTCACAGTCTCTCTCAACATGGCAGCCAGGGAGCTCACGTGGCAGGCGGCAGGCTTATGGCTCAGCACTCGGGCTGGCGAGGGGTCCCGGGCTTTGAGAAAAGGCCCTCGTGTAGGTGTTCGGTGTGACACGGGCTGTCGGTCCCCCCGCCTCGGGGAGCCACGCACCGTCTTAGCCCCGAATGCGCCTGGCGTCTTCTTGTAGCCACGCAGACACGCTGCCAAGTTGGGGAAGGGGTGCCAGTTGAGGGGAGGCGTCCCAGACGCCCCGTGGTGGCTTCTCCCCGTGGCCCGGGGTGGGCGGGGGGGTCTCGCGGTGGCTTGTTCCTGTGTGCGGCTGCCCCTTGAAGGCCTCACGCCCTTCCCTCAGTCAGGGCGGGGGGTCTTCAGATGTCAGGAGCGCACATCTGGAGCTCCTCCGAGGACTTCTGTCCTTGGACTTGGAACGTGTTCCGAGACACGCGCGGGGTTGGCTGACGCAGAACGGGACAGCCGTGCGAGGCGTTACCCGCTGGAGATAAAGAGCGAAGCGTTAGCACCGCGGCTGATCCGATGTCCTCCGTTCGGTCGTGATTGGAAGGTCTGCCTGAGGGAGCTCACGGCTGCTCTGTGAGACTAGCACTTTCTCCTCCAGGCAGTCGCGAGAGTGACGCCACGTCATGTCCGTCACGACGCGCCACGACGCGCCTGTCACCGCAGCCCGCTGCGCACCACTTGCCCGGGGCTAATTTTAAACCCAAAGTGTGATCCCTGGAGGTTTTGCCAGAGTTTTCTGGCTCTTCTGCCCGGGAGGAGATGGGGAGTCTCAGGCGGCGCGACAGCGGCGGCTCCAGGCTTAGGGTGGTGGCCAGGAGCCAGCTCCGTCTCCGCGCCCAGCCTGGGGAGCGAGAGACGGTTCCCGACTACGGGCCCAAGGTGGGTTCGAGAAAATGATTCCTTAAGCTGCGAGTAGCCGGCCGGGCATCTTTCCGAAAGCGTGTCTGGGCGTGTTGGTGACCTCGGGCGTCCCCCCGCAGCACGCCGCACAGCTGCTCTCGGCCGGGCCCCCCACCCGCGCCAGGGCCGCGTTTCTGCTGTCACCCCGGCCACCTGTCAGCATCCGGGAAGAGGGCGAGCGGTTCTCCCGTTTCCATCATCTCCGGGCTCCCGGTCTCTGCAGAAAAGCTGTGCCGATGAGCACGAGTAGGTGGAACGTGGCTGGAAACCGAAGTGAACCAGGACGGCCGAGCTGGGTAGATGCCCTCAGGCCAGAAGCTGTCGCCCGCCCTGTTGCAGTCCTGTTGGAGGACTCTGGCGTCCTCCAAGGGGGCTCTCGGTTTCTGATGCGGCAAATAAAAATAACCTGCGACGGAATTAAAACTGTCCTCCTTTAAAAACACGAAGGCCGCTTGCCTTTCCATTGTCTGCGAGGAGCGTCCTCGCAGACTCTGAGTGTAAAGCATTTTCGTGGAAACGCGCGCAGTTTCTGAAACCAAATGCTTTCTCTGTCCTCCAGATGGACTTTCTGGCCGAGACCAGCCTGTGGAACTGCTAAACCCTGCCCGCGTGAACCACATGCCCAGCACGGGTAAGTCGGCACGCCCCGCCTGGTGGGCACGGGCTCATCCGGGGGGCGTTCGGAGGCTCCACCCACGGGGGGTGTGGGGGGGCAGGTGGGCCATCAGATCCGAGGACTCCTGTGCTCTTTTCCGGGGGTGAAATAGGCCACCCGTTGAGGAAGTGCGTTGGGCGTTGCCTTGAGGTTATTTCAGTGGCCAAGGAGTGAATCTTTTCCGTCTTGAGCTCCGAAGGGCGTGTTCTTCCCAGAGGGGCCACCTGCTTCTCTTAGGGGTGACCCCGGCCCCTGTCCGTAGGAGGGCCCCCGGGAAAGAGTTCTGAGCCCAGGCCGGGGCCAGAAGTCCCCCGCCCGGCGTGGCCGGGCTGCTGGCCGCCACAGGACCACGGGCAAGTCCCGCCTCACCCACGGCCCGGGCTTCTCATTGCTTTAGCCGCTCAGTGACAAGGTCTCCCAGTCGTCTTGTCCTTCTTTCATCAACTAAAGAACGTCAGCCGTGATCAGGAGTCTTTGATTCCATGTATGAGATTTCCAAATATTACGCCTTAAGCAGCGTTAAGCAGCGTTTTCTGAATCTAGATGGCCGTGGAAACATTTTTTCCAGTCTTTTGCTTTCTGTGAAACACCTGCCCCCCATCCGGTGTCCTCCAGGACTTCAGCTCACAGCCTGGGCGCCTTCGGGTCCCCCTCACAGGCTGCTCGGCCGTCCCTCCTCGGGGCCCGGGGTGTGAGTTGGCCGCAGAGCCCCGGGCCGGCGTGTCGAGGCCAGCGCCGCCGGACCCTTGCCTTCGCCGAGGCCTGTGTCTGGGTGGTCCCCGGCCTTCGTGGGCGCCACCCCGCCCGCTCCCTCTGTGGGCAGCGCCGGTGGACCCCTGCCTCTGCCCCGGCCCCCGTCGGGCCCGCCCACCGCCTCGCCGTCCCCCATGCCCTTGAACGAGGCTGGAGGTGCCGGAGGAGAGCCGTCCCTGCCTCTCCTTGGCGTTTCCCCAAACACAGCATCTTGTTGCTTCTCCGTGGTGCTCCTGGACGGTGTTCGGGCGCTCCGTGCCCCTGGGGCCGCTCACGGCCCGCTCCAGCTTCTGCTTCTTCCCCCCGCCCCTTCACTTGTGACCCCGCGCGGAGTGGGGGGCAGGGAGGCTCCACGGTAGCACAGGAGGTGCCCCAGTTTTGGTCCGTGTGGAGCAAACCGTGCTGGTTGCGACTTGCTCTTCAGCTCCTTCTGCCGGTGTTATTCCTGTTTAAACGCGAGTCCCCGTGTGGCCGGGCATGTTGAGACTGGCTCCTAGAGCCCACCCAGGGGTGGGACAGAGGAGACTGTGCAGATGGCCCGACGCATCGAAAAGGGGGTAGGTACGTGTCGCTTCCACGTGAGCCACAAAGAGTTGGGCTGCAAATGGATTTTCTGGCTCGGTGAGAACACGCTGCCTGTTGAGACCCGGCTTGGGACTCGGCTTAGTGTCAGACGGCCCGTGGGCTTCGCCTTTGGGCTGAGGGGCCCCAGGATCCCGCCGACCCCTCGGCTGTGGCCTGAGGCCGGTTGCTGAGTTTCTGTTTTGTTTTGTTTGCTCATCTCTTAGACGGGGATACTAATGCCTTGTCCGCAGGATTCTCAGAAGGATCGAATGTACAGGTCTGATTTTTAGTAGTTCCTGGACAGATGCCATCCCTTCGTGTCCCATTGACAGACACGGAACACGGTGTGTGGCGTAGCTGGGACAGAGCCGGGTCGGGTCCCAGGAATGTTCCCCGGGCCGTTCCGCCTCCTCCCCTCCTTTGCGGGGAACCGCCTGCCTCGAGGAACACGCCTTGGGGAGTGTGCCCCCAGGGAACCGAAGCCAGTCCTTTCGCCTCCTGGGAGCCAGATCCCCGCGGGCCGAGTCGGATACTGCTGCGTTTTCTGGTGCTTTTGCTTTTTCTGTGTGTGTCACCGGTGGTGAGTGCTTGCAGTGGGGGAGCCGTGCCCGTGGGGCGCCAGCGAGGAAGGGGGCGCGTGCACGCGGTGCCAGGGGTGTGACGTCGGCCGTGAGGCTTGCACGCGAGGCGCCGCAGAAGCCGCCGTAGTGAGGGGGCGGGGCCTTCCTCACGGGTCCACGCAATCGGCCGGGCCAGCCCACAGTCAAGTACGTCACACCAAAAATGTTGATTCAGGTTAATGAAGGATCTGAAACTTAATACGAAAACTTCCTTCACAGCCACACGGTGATGATGCGGGAGTAGCAATGATGTTCTCTGTACTTCTCTGTCCATCCCGGTCTGCCTTGGTGGGTTCTCTGGCAGTCGAGTTTAACCTCGGCCCTCTTTTGACACGTGGCAGTGTGGACGCAAGCCGATCCGTGACACGGTTTGCAGGAGTGACTCCGGCGTCCACCTGGGGAGCCGGCTCCTTGAAGCAGTAGCTTGCGCACCGAGTAGGAAAGGGCTCGGGTGGCCTCCCCCACCGTTGACCTGCACGCACCTCCTGGCTCTTCCAGGTTGTGAGCGATGGTGACCTCAACGCAGGCTTCTTCTGATAATGGTTCTCTCTAAATAGTCCTTACCAAGACTGACTTCAGATAGAAAAGCACTATTCCCATCTTTTGTGTGCCCTCTTGAATCGAGACCTGAGGTAATTCTTGAAAAGAATAATGTCTTGTGGCAGAAAAGTCTGTATCATAGAAGGAAAAGGCCAAAATTCTAGTCAGTTGGGGTTACTTCTGATTTCTTAACCTCCCCTGCCCTGTAACTTCTCATAGGTAAACAAGCCTTTCCTTCTGCTTTTCCTTGTTTTAAAATTTGTAATTGCAGGGGCACCTGAGTAGCTCAGTCAGTGAAGCATCTGACTCGTGACTTCGGCTCAGGTCATGATCTCAGGGTTCGTGAGTTTGAGCCCCACATTGGGGTCTGTGATGACAGTTCGGGGCCTGCTTGGGATTCTCTCTCCCTCCCTCTCTCTCTCCCTCTTCCTCTCTCTCTCTCTCTCTCCCTCCCTCTCTCTCTCTCCCTCCCTCCCTCTCCTCCCCCTCTGTTCCTCCCTTGCTTGTGCACGTGTTCTCTCTCTCTCAAAATAAATAAATAAATGAAGTAGAATTTGTAATTGCAAAGTAGTCGTATCTTAGAAGAAACCATACAGCCGCTTGCCCACCACTCAGATACAGCAGATCCTGTGCTACTGTTACTCTAGGTGAGCATCGTATTTCTGTTTTCTGAAGTGAAGTAACACCGTTACGGACGTGGCTACAGCTGTTCGCCCTTCCCGGAGACTGTCATTTTCCTTCCCGGGTGGGAACCTGGGGCACAGACGCCACAGCCGGGCGGGGGCCCTGAAGAAGCCACGCCATCAGCTCCGTCGGGTGGCGAGAGGTGTCGGGGATCGAGGGCAGAGGGGAAGGGGAGAGATGGGCATCTTGGGGAACAGGAGGCCCCAGGACCGCACACCCACCTGCATCAGGTGCTTGGGTTCTAGTGCCCTTGGAAGACGTCTAAGTCACTCATTTCTGAATCGTCGTAACTGTTTTGAAGTTACAAGCTTCTCCCTCTGATTATAAAAGCGACGTCTCTCAGGGGAGAGACACGGGGTGCCAGACGTGCTGGGTGCTGGCTCCCAGAACTGGGAGGGGGCTCACTCGGGTGCTACCCGGTGTGGACGCTCAGCAGCCCTGACGGAGGGAACGGGGTCGAGGGGAGGCCTCGGTCGACCAGGAGCAGAGTGGAGGAAGCGAGACCGGAGCGGGAGCAGGACGCATATTTGAAGCACACCGCAGTTAACCGACGGTGCGCACGGGGCTGTCCACCAGGCGTGTGTGCTCGCCACGGCAGCCACGCGCCCTCGCTGGGCACCCGGCATACGAGTTATGGGGCAGGACCCCCGTGTTCCAGTGCTGCTGGAGAAGAGACCGCCTCAGACAAGGTCAGGCCCCCGAAGGTTCCGCAGCTACAGGATGCAGGCACCGTCGCCCGTGATACACGCGCCCCTAAAGTGCGCATGTGGGTCAGCTGGGGAGGCTCCTTAGGAAGGCGGTATAACAAAGGTGAAATTTAATTTTTCGAAGGAAATTCCGGCCTCTTGAAGAAACTACAGAAACTCCCGAGAACTTACCCAAATGAAGGCAAAAAGCGAGGACTAGCTTTAAACATGGATTCCCACGCCGTGAAGGGTATTTGACCAGCACGCTGTCGAAGTGGCGACGGAATTTCTTACACACGTCTTGGAGTTTGGAGCAGGAGCCGTCTGGGCTGGCGCGAAGCTTCTGGTGCCTCGCAGGCACGTTGGTTGTGCCGTTTGGTTTCCATGAGAGGAAACGCATCTCGTGAGGCAAACGCAGACGTGAGACGTATGTGACCCCGTGCGACCCGGGGAAAGCGCCAGAAAAGCTCCCTATTGGCACCTGAGCTGATTAGTTACTTTAAGCAGTAGATCCCCTGGGAACAAAGCCCGTGTGGTAATACTTCTCACATGATGCTCCTTCGTGTGTGTGTGTGTGTGTGTGTGTGTGTGTGTGTGTGTGTGTGTGTGTGTAATGTGAGGACGGGGTGCGGTGGAGGACTGGGCTGCCTTGTGTGGCTCCTGCTGGGTGCCAGGTGGGGTCGGGGATTGTGCTCATTGATCTCCTGGTTCTGGCGCCATCGGGACCCTGGACGACCCTGGGGCTGGAGGCAGTGCCCCCCGGGACGCGCTCCGTCGTGGCCGAAGACGGGCCGCCCTTTGCCGCAGGTGGGCCCGTGCAGGGGCGCGTGGGGGGTATAGCATCTGCCCCGCTGTCCCAGGGGCCTGCCGCACTCCTGCTGCTTGCTTGTCTGCTTTCAACTTGGGAGGAAAAATGAAACCCAGGACGTAAAGATGCCGAGGTCAAGTTCCGCAGTTTGAAAATTTGAGAAGAGTCCCAGTTTGATTTGCTCAGTCTAAGCAAATGCGGAGAGTTTTCCTGCTTCCCTCCCCGCACAGGCTCACCCGAGAGCCCCTGTGAGCAGCCCTGACTTAGCCCGGACTGAGGGGCCTGGGGCCCACGGAAGCCGGAAACCTGAGCGTCACTGGG